CTTAACTTATCTCTGCCTTTTGTCTCCCACTGAAGGGGAGGGAAGGGAGCAGCTCATGGTTTTCTTTTCATTGGGAGTACTAAATCGGAGAATACCGTTCCTAAACTATGACATTAAGTCAAGAGGGTATTTTTCCCACTGGCTTGAATCAAGAAAGTCTGAGGTCATTTTGTAGTAGCTGCCACAGGGAAGAGGAATTTGTTGCGTTATGAAATAAAGCTCATCTTCACATCCATAAAAGAGCTCAGAGAGACAGCAGACAAGAGGGGGAGCACAAATAATGTCTTCCTGGGTTATATCCAGGGCCATCAGCCCACCAGAGACCCATATGCACAAGCCCCAAGGAGCACAGGGCAGAGCAGCAGGTGGGAGCACAAATCACAGACTTCTGAGCAAAGAAAACCTTGTCCAGGTCGCTTCCAGGGCTGCCCTGGCAGAGCCATTGCTTCCAGTGTCCCAGCGTGACACTCATCATTATTTGATAGCTCTTGTTATCAGCTTTTGGATTTTAAGGGGATTGCTGCATAGAGTGGGACATTTGCAATGTCAGGGAAAAGCGGTTTGGGGCCAGACAGACTTACTAGGGGATGTTTAAAGGGAGAAACCAAAGGCACAAAGAGGGAGAAGTTAAGGTGATTTTGGGAAGAGCAAGAGTGGGAAAATAAATATAAGGGTAAGGGGATAAAAAGGGCTGGGCATGTAAATAGCTGCTGATCAGTATGTTTATCTGATTAGTGCAGCCTGTCCTGTCTTATTAAATCCTTTTCTATGTCTTTCCTGGGTGAGAGCCCTTTATTCTCTGTGCATGAGGGTGAATGGGGCTCTGAGAGCAGTGACTGGAGTCAAACCATGGGGTCACCAGGCCCAGGTCTTCGTGGTGCCAGAGCCTGGAAAGAATGTGAGTTTGTGAACTCTAGCAATGGGCCTGCCAAGAGCACATCTTCAGCTTGCTACAAATAGAACCTGGGAGCAAGCAGTGGCATAATCTTCCTGATTATGTTTAAACGGAGTTAGGAGATAATACAGTCACAAATACGATGTGTATGTTTAATCATACTGCTTCGCTTTCAAAATAAAGTTTTTTCGTGAGAGTACTATTAAGATTTCATTAAAATGACATTAATATCACTAGGAATTGGATAAGAACACTGGGATTTACAATATTTTGATCAGAGCTAGCACAGCTTCCTATTTACTTACTATAAAACAGAAAAAAGAAAACTTTAAACCTCTCCCAAAAAGTTCCACATCATAGATTCATATTTTATGTCGTTACAGTGGCACTTAATAAAATGAAATGTTAACACTGCACTGAATAAGGCACTAAATACCATAAGCACGGCATCCAAAACAGGAGAACCAAACATATTCTAGCTGTCATTATTTTCAAAAATTAATCTGATTTCAAACAACATGTTAAATGTGCGAACTCAGAGACACAGAATCAACTGTGTAGTAGTGATTAGACTGATTTTTTTATCCTCTTCCATTTATGCTTTTAGCAGCAGTTAAGAGAACAAAATATGGAAGTTTTGAGGCATTAAAAGTGACATGAAAATAGACAATGGCTTGTCTGGCATGCTTTAGTGAGAAGAAAAAGCCTCGTTATGAAATAACAAGCAATAAGACACAAGTGTTCACTGTCCCAAGGAGCTACTTCTGGCAGATCTCTCATAGAATTAGTGTCAAAGAATGTGAGTGAATATTGACACACCACATAAAAGGCTTTCAGGAGAGAGAACTAGACCAAGAGTAGTAGCCTAAAAAGAATAGAGTGAAAGCACCTCCATAATCTAACAAATCTGTAGGACACACAGCTCTGTGCTCCGCACTTATACTGAGCTGAATGCTCAAAACTATCCACATCTAATGTGATATGAAGTGGGGTCACTGGATATGGAAGAATGAAATTAAGGAGTAGATAACTTTGAAAAAATGAAGAAAAATCAGAGCACCAGACATGGCACAAACTATAAAACTATCAGAACTTCAACTTTCTTCAAAGTGAACAACACATTTCAATAAACAGTTTAGAGGAGAGGGACCATTTTCTTAGGAAATCCTACTTAAAAAAAAAAAAAAAAAGTGTAGGTAGAATTCTAGGAGACTTTAATACTTAGACTTTATGTATTCTACCCATGAATCCAACCAATAAAATTGTGCTTTCCATTATGTCTGCATTATGTTGAGGAATTGTTCAATGCACCTTCACACAAGTTAATTTGGAAATCCTGGTCCTGCTTTTAGTTGTGCTGATTTCACACTCAGAGGAAAAGAGAGTTACTACACAGCTATGTAAATGTGTGAGCAAAAGTATTGTTGGCTCCTTCTAAACATGCAGAAACAGAAAAGATCAGTTTAGGTATCTTCAAGAGGGAAAGGAAAGAATTAGATTAATATTAAGTAAGTACAGAGACAGTAAAAAACTGTGAAATCCAACAATGATGAAATACAGAGAGAAGGTAAGATGAAATGATGAAAAACAATGGTTTGCATATATATATGCAAATATGTATATTGATATACAATAGCCCAAACATATATAAGAGAAAAGCCCTCAATCTTTTCAATGAAAATTAAGAGCAAGTATAAATGCTTACCTGGGACAATATGCAAGACTTTTCTCAAACTTCAGTGCTTGAAGTAGTGGGCTATTAAGCTACATGTTCCACAAAACCCCAAAAGTACAGCTCTGTTTACCTTTAAAACCATTCACTGGGTACCTTCTATTCAGTTACCGGTGGCAACTGCTTGACCTGAAACTCTTTAATTGCTGGGAAGCCCATTTGTCAAGTTACTTTAAAACACTCCTGCTCATCTCAACCGACCCAGGCAGACACATCTGTATGTGGGTAACTCCCTCTGCACAAGTAATTGTCAGTGGGCCTGCAGGAATGCTTACAGTGATATTTGGTCTGCTTCTGCCTAACCATATTTTATTCATTCAAGGATACAAGTTTCACCAATCCCCAGCAGGCTCCCTTCCAGGACACGGGACAGCTGACCTGAGTTATTGCAACAGGCAGCAAAAAAAACCAAGGTCCTGGAGGGACTAAGAATAGAGATGTTCGTTTTCCGCAAAACATCATAAAAAATAAATTAGGAAGATCCAATGTGTTTTAAATAAAGAAATAAATTTAAACCTTCAGAGGGAGACTGTATTTAAAAATGCAACAGGCTCAACTATTAAAAATGGATGGTAGCAAAATGATTCAGGATGTTTTGTTGCTTATGGGGAAACTAACAAAAAAATGGAATTCAAACTGTCTTCCCATTGCTTTCATTGTAGGATTCTCTTTTTCCTCTCTTTTTGTTCTTGTTCTTTTGAATGTTTCTTCCAATTAGTGCTAGCTTTTTATTTGCATAAAAACCAGACAATTGCTACTTGCTGCTAAAGCTGATTTCCCACCTGAAGATAGTCTTCCATAGCTAAGCTTTTAACAGGCAGCTGTCATCAAAAGTTGAAGGTGCTGGCAATATCAGATTGTTGTCCAGTACCAGAGGAAATGGATCATCAGATGACAAACAGCATGAAGAACTATGGAGCAAGTGATTTGATAGAGTTACAGCTGGTTAAGCAGCAAGAGTATATGAACTCTTAGGAAGCAAAAGATCCTATTTTTATGTAAATGTCCTCACCACTGCTGTGTAAAATCTGGCAATCTCAGCTACTACATTCAAGACACCTTTTTTTTTTTTTCCCATTGCACAGTCTATCTTGAAATTTAGTGAATTTAGTGTGAAAACTTCCAAGAGCAAAGGGAATTCAACAAGACCTGTCAAGATCTGAGTCATACACTGACTAATCCCACTTGTAGTGGTTTAATCCCATACAATAACTAAGCACCACGCAGCTGCTTCCTCCCATCAGTGGGATGAGAATGAAAATCAGAAAAAGGTAAAACACGTGGGTTGAGATAACAACCTAATAATTGAAATAAAGTAAATTATCATGAACAAGCTGCTGTGGCATATCAGAGCTTCTCCCCAGCTACAGGCTCCCAGGAACCACTTCCCAAGTCCAAAAAACAAGCTACTCACATTTTTGTACAAAGTAGGGTCTCAATCAGCTGCCATTTGCCCTTCATAAATACTTCTACATAAAATCTAACACAGAGGACCTGCCAGTTTAGGAATCTGATAACAAATTAAGATAAGCCTCAAAGCATTCTTGAGAGTTAAACAGCTCCATTGTCTGGGGAGTGCTTTTTACTTTGAGGCCTACATCAAGTTTAATCAGCTCTTTGAAGTAGAACAGAAAAGATTTGGCTTGCTCAGTCAATCTAGAAATGGATATGATCTTTCACTATTATTTTTCACAACAATTTTATAATCCTTTCTTCCTATTTCTACATACTGAAAGAAATCTTAGGTGACCCATAGGTTCAAATGGAATTTCTTACAGAAACCTAAGCACGGCAAATGCTATATATATATAGATATCTATATGAAGTATACATAATAGACTCTAAATGTAAAATCTATTTTTTCTTTCTTCTATCTGCAAATAAAAATTGCTTTGAATAAATATCATGTTAAGTTGTCAACATTCTGCAGTAAAGCAAGAGTTAGAAGCTTGTATTTTTTCTTTTTAAATATGCCTGCCTTTTTGTAGTGGAGAAGTGCATACAGTACCTGTTGTTATTCTTATGTGGCTCCTTAAAAGTTTTCATAAAGACAACAGGTTACCAGTGAAATATAATATCAGCTCATCAGGTTCTTCAGGTGCTCTTCTGCAAAGCTATGAAATAACAGTTCATCCCATCCTTGTAGAAACCTAATACAAAATTTTCCACATACAGTCACCTTAAAGTCTTCCCTCCTCCCTCTCCAGCTTCATATCCCACCCAACCCTTCAATTCCAGAAGATTTTTTTTAAAGAAAAGGAAAAAAAAAAAAAGAAAAAAGAAAAGAAAAACAGCTTATAAAACAGCAAAGAAAATAAAGTTATTTTAATATATATAGAAAGAGAACAAAATGAAACTCGAGGGAAAACTTACTGGCGTTACAGTTTATCCTGATACAGTCTAGATGGGGAAAAATAAATGAAAGATGAAATTGCATCCTTCAAGGTAACAGCTGCAGACATCCAAAAACAATCAGTCCACCCTTCCGGGGACAGACACACGCAAAGAGATGTGGCCATTTTATACTTATACACAGTCTGTACAAGTTCAGGAGTGGGTGTATATGTACAGTATATTCTATGCAAATATCTGTTACATATATATACATATATATACACACATATATATATACACATATGTATAGAGAAATATACCAGTATACATACATAGCCACATGTTGACACAGAAAGTTCTTTTCTTCTTATAGAAACCTACAAATCTAAGAGAATCTTCCACTCCTGACCATGAACTGATATGAATTACAATTAAAAAATTTATAATTAAGGCATAAAAATCTCCCTCAAGACACAAGTCACATTCACGTGTCATTTTGCTTTTTAGAGACCTTTAGCAATTTCTCTAAGCTTGAAGCTCAAACCTTTACACTTGGTTTCTTTTAAATTAATTTGTATTGTTATTGCATAAATACACCATCTGTCAACAGAGAATACCTGTAAAATCAGTCTATGAGGTTTGTTGGTGCAATATTTAACCCTTTCCAGCTCTCCCAAAGACAGACCCTCTTCTCATTCCCCCAAAGCCAGCCCAAAACACTTTTCAAGATGTGCACAGACACATTTGACACTGTCCGCTCAGGTGAGGAAAGGGTTAATATACTGCCCAGTTGTGTCCTATCATAAAATGGCCACTTGCAAACAGCTAACCGCACGAACGCCCAGCCCAGATTTCAGCTAGTTCTGGAGGTTGGGAATCCTTTTTTCTGGGGCGTGGCAGGGAGAACGGGGATTTCTTTCAAAGGTCCCCAGCCCTGCCAGTTCCCCAGAGCCCGATCTCATCTTGCTGTCTGAACGCTGAGTGGGGTGTTTGTAACGTTCAGGGAGAAGATGAAATAGGCAGTGAAGTGGCAGATCTGGGAACCTTTGCTGGCCCTGCTTCATTCAGAGGTCACAGGAAAGGGAGGGACAAAGAGAGGGATAAGGAGAGAAAAACAGGGTTGTGCTTGTGGAATCTAATAAATGGCAACTGAGTAGTCTCCAAAAAGCTAGCAAGCTGAGGTAGGAGAGCCTGAGCTAGAGGGTTTCTGAGCATTGCTCCTCTCTTTTAACACACTAATGCTCAGCATATCGCAGGATACGATCCATTAGAGGATCTTTCATTTATAAATTTACAGCCTTGTGGACATCCACTGCTGTGGCATCTAACATAGGTGAGAGCTTTCATATTAGTGCTATTACATATCTTGGGCTATGCTGACCTTCTCTCAGGAAATCAAGGCCGTGAATAATAGCACCATGCTAGTGGACATGTTGTCTGGACAACTAGAACTTTAATCACCAGGAATGGTTGTATTTATTACAGAAATGTGGCCCAGCAAGTGAGATTATACAAAATGGCAGAGAAATACAGTGCAGTTTGCTTCCTAACTGGACCAATTTTATGTTTGCTCAGACAGATGTAGGAAAATTTTTTAAGCAGCTAAACACAGTTCTTAAAAAATGAAGGAGGGGAAAGAACAAGAGTCTACAAATAATAAATAAAGAATTGTAATGAGCAGGGACATACCAATCACAAGTAACATAGCCAGAGAGAGTCTGTTTTCAAGCATAACTTCTCCTGAGAAAATCTGGGTTTGGTTTTGTGCGATTAGGTTTGTCATGTGTCGTCAACCGCAACAGAAAAGTGGGAGCAAACAGCCCTGGAGCAACCGCTACGATCACCATACAGTGGTGGCTATATCCCTTTACAGGAGCTGGGTGGGGTAAAGGGAGCTCTGAAGTACATGCAGGGGAACTTCTCTCTCTGACCTGACGGAGAGTGACAGCAAGAGAGACACCCAAGTCTTACTGCAGGCAAGTGAGATCAAGAGAGTTGCTACAGCTGGAACATGGGAATTTCTAATGGACTAAAGAGCAAGTATGCTGGAAAGGGAACACACATGGCTGGTTCTCAGCAACATTCATCAAAGAGGCTAAAATCATTCTTGTGTTATTGATGCCTGCTAAGTTTTGTTGTTTTGGTTTGTTTTTTTTTCAGTGATACCACAATAACTATATGTCCTAGGGCTTTCCCTCAGGCTGAAACACTACTCCAGATGAAGGGATAGACATTTCAAACTGAAAATCAGAGTAGCCCTTATCTTAGCTGCAAGATTCCTATTTCAAAGGATGAGAGTCCAGGCCACTGAGAGAGCTGCCCTGACAAGTACATGGCACTACTAAATCTGCAGACTGTGAGCACAAAGTCTGCAATGCCATGCAATTGGGAGCCAGACAGAAACACGGAGGTGCACTCCAAAGGAAGCAGCTCCTCATCCAGGTTTCATCTAACTGGATCCTGCAGGGCACCTAAGAGAGGGTATCTGCTTGTGCTGTTACACCAGCACCACCATACCATCCACACTACCATCAAAGAACGTGCATAGAGGTTTTTTCTGTTGCCTTAATTTTGAGCCTTGCCCAAAGCAATGCAAAAATATTCCAACCATTAATTCATAAAGCTTTTCTCTCCCTCTGAAATCAGTTTTTGAAAAGGAAGAAAACACTTATGTTCCTCTAAACTAGTACAACAGTAAAAATCCAAAGCAGAGGAGATTTTTCCTGGAGGTAAAGGTGCAGATGTAGTCTGGTCTTTGTGCTCAAAGCAGAAGCATCTGGTTAATTCAGGGGTAATTAAAAAAACTCCTCGGGATTCCTCCTGCACAGTACCAGGGCAATAAGAATTCTGGTAATCATCATCTAGTGCACTCAGCCCTGTTATCAGTATTTGCTTCTGAGATAGGTTTTGGAGATGAGTATACCTGAACAGCTGTAAATCCAGTCACCTGACAGTTCAGCAACTGGACAGGGAATGTGGTGGATAGAAGGGAAGTGAAAATTGAGTCTGTTACTGTATGGGGTGCAGGATTAGCTGGGAAGACCTTCTGCAGTTACTTTCTTTTCATTAGTTGTCTAATGTAAGCCAGAAGCTCCTTCCTTAGTGCTCAGATGAAAGGTTTTCCAGAGCATATTACCTGGAAAATGGGCCAAAGACACTCTCCTTCCAAAAGGTTAAATAGCTCAATTGCAGCTGGCTTACACAAGGGATCCATTGCTTGAATGGAGGTATCTTTAGCAGCAAACAGAGATCTGCAAATTAGGCCTGTGTTTCTTACCATTTTTATCTTTTTGTCTGAAAATAGTAATATGTATTTGATGCTGCTAAGGCTTCGGGCTTCTTTAATCCTCAAATCAAGAAAGAAAGTCACCTTTACTACGTAAGGACAAAATGGTTTTTTCTTTGGATGAGCAGCCATATGTGGCTATGGAAGAGTACATAAGGGCAAGAAAAGGCCAAAAAAAGGTAATCAGGGCCCAACTCTTTCTAAGCTCACTCTGAGTTATTTCCTATGGGAAAATCAGATAAAGTCCTGTGTACATTTATCCTACGTTACATTGAGGCTCCTTGCCTCTGTCCTACTTGCACTATTTTTATATAGAAATGGCAGAAGAAACTTTCCCTTTTGGATGGGCAAACATGGCTCTGACACCCTTCAGGATTTATCATAGGAACAGATAGGTGAGAGAGATGAGTACACTGCCTTAAGAGGAGGCAGGAAATATTTATCCTAGTCACCGGTGACCTGAAGATATATCAGGCCAGGAAGAAAGAAACCTGAAATGTTCTTTAATGAAAGTCAGCATAACATTATAACCCTGCCACTTATTGATGGCAGAAAAAATGTGAACATGGATCTCCCTATCAGACCAGCCATTTCGTTCCCTTTCTGCACATCATCTCAGCATCAAAACTCATTCCCAAGCATGTTCCAAGCTATGATTTGCATAATTTCTCTCTCTCTCTCTCCTTCCACTCCAGACCCATTTGTTCAAAATCCTTCCCAAGGGAAGTAAGATGCATATCACATTTGGATTTCTATTCTTCACACAACAAAACCTGAAACTACTTAGAGTCCTGCTGTCAACATGAAGAGTTGCAGTGTCACAGGCACCCGCACTGGAAAGGTCTGAAGCAACTTCCTTGCACCCTTCCTCAGAGAATTATCCATTGCTGCTCTTCCTTACCACCTTCTAGAGCAAGCACCCAGCTGCCTAAGGCCACCCACGCCCACTGTGCCTCTCTCTCCTGGCTGGTTTGGACACTGAGTGCTGAGGGGTGAGAGGGATATGCCAGCCCCTGCAGGCTGCTCCGTATGCTCTGTTCTCAGGGCTGTTTGCTGTGCGGGCCGCAGGCTTCAGGCCTTTGAAGGGTCGAATACCATCTTTTGATTTACCATGGCTGATGGGGTATGGGAAAGCTTTACAACCAAAACACACAGAAGAGACAAAAAAAAAAAAAAAAAAGGAAAATAAAAGGAAAAAAAACGTAGGAAAGACCTTAATTAAGACACAAATGATAATAAGTAATCGAATGAAATAGATCAGAGAAGAGAAGAAAGAGACAGCTCTTAACAACAGTATTAAATGACCAGAAGAAAAGCACAATTAAATAACTCACCCCTCAAAACAGTCCTTTTTCTCACACATCATGAGTTAGATGCTTGGGGGATACTGGCATGTAGCTAGTCAGCACCAAGCATACTCAGATCTTCAGAGGTGGTGCTGATGACTGTTTCTCACTGGTAAGGAGATTTTGGCAAGGTAGGATAAAGATTTAGCTCTTGTTTGTGACATTTGGGCTATGAGCAGTCTCCATGCAGAGTTATTATGACTTTAACAACTGGAAATGAATGGCTTTAGTAAGGTGATTCCTCCTCAAATTCTGTTCTTCAACAGCAAGGTAAATACTGTTTTGCAGAAGGAAAGTCCTGTTTCAAGAATGTTTTCTGACAGTTTTATAACTCTGAATAAAGGAGAGGTGAAGCTCAGTCTGGGTTCAAATAGTCTGAATTACCCCTCTGTTGAGTTAGACATAGGAGAGTGCTGACAGGTCTTCACTAGTCCAGCCTGTAGTCACTTTGGGGAAGACTGAACATCACAAAAATTTACAGCTGAAAAGCTGGCAAAACGTGGCATACACGTTGCTTCAGTCCCTGCTACTACACAGAATCAGCCTTCAGTTTACACAGAGGTTTGTTTCAAGATTTTGTCCCTGCATTAAGCTGTCAACAGCACATCTTTTCTGAACATGTGTAGTCCATCTGTCAAATCTTTAGACACATCTTTTAGGTACCAGACAGTAGGAGTTGAACAGTCCAGCTCTAGGCTAGGTGATGGCATAAAAAATCCCAGTGAGTGCTAAAAGTGACCTGTGCCAATCAGGCACACAATGTTGACAGGCCCTGAGGGAAAATATTTTCTGCCAGCATGATATAATGAAAATTGGAAAGGAAAGAGTAAGCGTTAAAAAAATAAGTACATTCAGGGTTATACAAATATACCCTCCTCATATCCACTTAGGGTCTAAGTCTAGGAGGCCCCAAATATCCAAAATGAGAAATTCCCCTAATTCTCATTCATTTTTAAGAAGATATAACAGAATCAAACAAGTGGTACCTTTTTCAGAAGAAAAAGTGACAATTTTTGATGAAGTCTGGCAATTTTCATGCTGTAGTACTTCTCATGTGAGAATACCAAAGGTGATAAAAGCAGCTCTTATTAAAATACTAGCACATCCCTCACAGGGTGCAAAGAACTCTCCTTTCAACAAGTAGAGAAATTATTGCTTGAAAAGTAAAAGAACTGGCTCTGGGCTACAAGAGGATGCTGTGGAATTGGGCAGATACTCAGTTGCCCCGTCACTTCCCCAACAGAAGCATGCCACTACCAATCTTTTAGTGATGAATTTTATTTTCTGAGAAAAAAAAAAGCTAGCCATAATTTTCAAAAAATGAAATGGGGAAAATATAATCTCATTTTTCCTGATTATTAGGAACAACTAATTAGATCAGAAGAAAACGCAAACACATATAAACACACAAACGCTCTGGGGCTTTGTTGAAGATTCTCATTGAACATGAAAGGAGGCTCAACAGCAGTTCTTTTGAGCTGTTCTCCAGAGAAATGCTGCAAATCTATGAAATTTTCCTTCACTTAGAGTTAATACAGGAAGAGATAGCTATCACCAGAGTGCTGTTTCTCTTTATTTGAGGAGTTACTGTCACAGCTGAGGTTCATCTATTCCATCTGTCCTATAGGCCAGTCTGGATAGCACAGCAACTACTCTTATTCAGCTACAGACTCAATAGTGCTCTATGCTTCTTCAGTCAAGCTAAGCAGAGAAAATATGCAAGTATATGGGGTTTTTTTGATTGGTGTTTTGCTCTTATTTACTAAAAGGCAAGAGTTTCTATAGACTTTTAGATGGACACTTTCCTTTTAAGAGATATGAACTTGTTTGATGAATCTTCACTTTCTTATTCAAAAAGTAAATAATAGGGTCTGGCTCACAATTTCAAAGCCAAATAAAACCCACCACGTGCAATTTTAAAAAGCAAGCTAGTTTCAGAGGACAACATATTCTGTAAACCAAGCTGCTATGTGGTTTGCTCCTGATAGCCACACCAGGGCTCTGAAGATGGTGATCCTATTAGCCCAAAAAATGTGAAGCTTGTTTCAGTGGGCCTTAGAAAGCTGACAGAAATTTTCACGGACCATTCACAAAGCTTCATATAAAATAAACTACACATTAAGAGGTATAAGACTATGCACTATTATCTTAGTTTTGCCTCTTTGAGTCAGAACTTCCTTTTAGTTATATTCCTGAATTCACACGAAGCAACAAGCTGCATTACTGAAAAGTGAAAGAAATCTTCAACTCCTGTATTTATATTCTTTAAAAAATTTTCATTCTCTAGAGTACCTAAAGACTGGCAAGAAAATTAATTGAGGCTAATCTAATAGCACATTCACTCCCAATTGTTTCTGCATTGTTGTTATTGTTGGACTTGTTTCCAATTGTCTTTTTAAATTATTTTCTGGGAAAGTGTAACTCTAAGAAGACAGAACACAGCCCTTTGGGATGGAGGGGATGCACTTTTATTATTGTTAACTTCTTTTTTATAAAGACACAACAAAAACACCAGTTTTTTTTAATTAGATATATAAAATATGGCAAGCTGTATCAAATGCTGCCAAATTATGCAAAGGGCAGGGGTTCACAGGACTTCTGCTTGCCACCATATCAAATTTTGTTTCCTTTCCATGTTTGCCTTTGACTGTTTTGAGAGGTGCTGGATGAATGAGGGATGTAACTGATCAAAAGATGGACCAAGTAGCATGTTTCACACAGAGCTCACCAGTCCCAGACCAAGAAAGGAAACTTAAGAACTTAAAGACTTATAAACCAACACTGTTCATAAGGAAGAACTGACAGCAAATCTTCATGCAGCAATGCAGAAGAGAATTTCTCCCCGCAAGAGAATATGATTATAAAAGTTTCAGCAGTTATTTTGGAAATCAATCCAATCCAATCAAACCGACAGAAAGAAAATGAAATAATATTTAAAAGAACACTAATCACAAGTCCAAACTAATAGTGAGGAGGGCGGTGGAAGGTGTTTATACGATACCTAAATTGACCATAAGTTTGACCCGGCCTCCATCCAGCTCCAGGCGCAGAGTGTCAGCAGAATCTCGCGACGTGGTTGCCATCAACAGCCCATAAGCACGCTGGGACATGAAACGGAAGGACACGTCTTCTGCTTCCGTGTGCATAACCATGGGCATGATTATCTTCATGTACATGCTGCCATCGTAGCTCAAGATAGAGGCCTCTGCAAGGAATCAGCAAACAATGGGAAAAAATTAGAAGTTACACCTCTGAAGAACCCTTACTTCTACCACAGAGCACTGTGTGTACAGAAACCATAGCACTTGCCACAGAAAAGTATGTAACTGGGGGAAACAAACATTAAACTGCATCCAGAAACCCTGCGGGGCAAATACACGCAGCAAAGCAAGATATGGTGGTCACTGCAACTGGTGACAGCAGTACCCATGGACACATAATTCCCAAGGTCAAGCACGTTAGGGCAAAGCCCTTTTGTGATTAGAAGGTAGAAAAGCCTTCATTTTTTCACATCTTCCAGAAAATGCAATCTCCGTCAGTGCACTGAAGTCTAGCCTTCCCTAGGACTAGCAGTAATGACTAGAGTCCTAATTTCTGGTGCTTTTGCTGTTGCTTATTTAGAGAGGAATTTCATTTCACTGATATCACTTTAAAGACAAACAACTGTATAAAGTGGATTTCCGAATAGGTATTTTCTAAATCAGGTTTGTTCCACTTTGTGATTTTATATTTTTCCACTACTTACTAACAACCAATGTTAGGAGAGCTCTGCTGATACAACCAATGCAAATGAAGAAAAGAACAAACCAAACTTCATTGCAAGGGCCATTCAAATGCAGGAAAAGTTAGAAGATAGCAGCACAGTGAAAGCCAGGAAGAGGGGGGGAAAGAAGTGAAGAAACAAGTTATTTTTCTATCATCTCTGAAGATGTCAAAGAAAATTGGAATTTCAGCCGAGGAAAAGAGTTAAATTTAGCATTCTCTATTTATTCAGGGTCTTGCCTGCAGAAAGTGATATTCTCCTCCAAGTGGTAGAATTAAAGCCTTGTGTTAGAACTGCAGCAAGCACTACAGCATAGCAATCATTGTTTCTTCATAGAATATGCTCAAAAGCATTTTTATCTGCAAAATTTACAAATCTACACAAATACATTAACGTATGAATCAGAGCATTCCTATTCCCCACAGCCAACCCATACCAAAGGCACAGCTGTAGAGATTAACCCATGTAGGGCTTAAAACTACATATCAAAATCCCAGAATTTAAAAAAAAACATCGAATGGTTCAGCTTCCTCAAAACATGGATGGATTGCTCCATAAAGCCCTCTTACCAGTACCTCATGCAGTTCAGTTCAGCTGAAGTTTTCTCAAACAATTGACTGGGATTCTCTCCAGGTACCACCACCCCACCACCCCTCAGTAAATTAACAGTCTATCTAAATTAACCAACTGCAAAACCTGTATTTGGAATGTAATAAAAATATCCTTATGTTTCAGCCCTTTTTCCCATTTTTCCCAGCCAATGAGAGCAGAATTTCCATCAGAAAACAACAAGTATGGCAGAGCCAAACCTTACATGCTCTCAGTGCCTAAATGTTAGATGCCACAGTAGGGTAAACAGATGGGAAACTGAGGAACAGCCAAATGTCCATGCCATAAAGCACCCGTGGCAAAATGGCTGGTAACAGAACTGCAATGCAATAAGTATGCAAATGAGGTGATAAAGATATAAATATCAAGCTGATAAAGTGACAGAAGAGACATGTATATGGTTCCAAAACATTTGGTGGGGATCACTACAGCTGTTCTGGTGCAGCAACCCACCACACTCACTAATAGCTGGTATGCAGCACATCTGCAGTCATAGGACACACAAACATATTAAAACTTTTCTGGGAGCACCATCAAGATGTCTGTGAACAACATCCCTACTCACCAGTTTTCTTAGCTGCACTTGCCACACACTGTCATGGTCTGTGCACAGAAAGCTTTCTACACACATCACCCACTCTACCAATACATTACACACATCTCTGGTACCAGCTGCCAGTGCTGCCCTGGGGTTCCACATCTTCGTTTGGCCAAGACACAGAGAAGGAAAGATTCCTTTTCAAGGTGGAAGAGTAGTTTCTTTTCTTCAAAGTGCAATTCTCTTCCCCCTCACGTCTGTACCTCTCACTTGCCACCCACAACTGCAAGCTGGAACTAAATGTAGTGTATATTATACATACACTCAAAGGCAATGCCTATGTACACACACACCTTTCTTGCTCTCTTTCCTCTCTCTCTCTGCAGATTGTATTAGAAAATGCAGTCAAGCATGAAATGGCTCTTTTGACGCCTTCAGCTCAGATGTGCCTTGCATGAAACATAGTTGCTGGCCCTAGCACATGAATAACTGCGACGAGGGGGTTGGAGGATATCAGGACTACGAGTGGGAGCAGCTGACACAAGTGTCCCAGCTCTGCTGCTTCCTTCTCCACAGTGCCATGTGTTAGGTGCTTCGAAAACGTGAGTTTTTCTGCAGTGACTAGAACAAACCAAAAGCATGGTAATAATGAGTCTCTTTCCTTCAGTAAGAATTTGTGCCCTTCACCTTTACTGATCCCATTGCCAAGTAATTACTGTCCTTCGACAAGAAACCCCAAGCCTCACTACCATACTTATGTAAGGAGGATCTGAAGAATACTCAGAATTGCTGAAGATGACAGAAACATCTGGACAGTGTTTCAGCTGACATCTCACAGTAGCCTGAATCAGGTATTACTGTCTCTTCTCCAGCCAGTCTGCTACAAACATGATGCAATGAAACCTCGTAACAATTAAGCAGATAAAATTAAATATCTAGAAACAGTTGACACAGGCTCCACACAACCCCAGGAGACAATATTCTGTTCTTGTGTGTGCCCTATGCACTTGACACATTTCAAAAATGACAAGATTTCATTCTCACTTTGCAAGCCTTCACAGTCTGGAGTATCTGAGAGCCTTTCTACACATCTTGCAAGCAGACCATTCCCTCCAGCTATGAAAATAGCCCTTCAGAGGAGGGTATTGCCTAGTAGCAGTCATACAAGTAGAACCTATTTCCTTTTCCTGACAGTCAGCCCCCAAAGCTTGAGAAAAGCATGTTACAGCTGAGCAACACATGGAACAAATCTGCTCAGGGTTGAATGTAACCTGGCAACAAGTGCATGACCTCAGCCTCCCAGACACCTGTGCTGGCAGCTTCTGCCTGAATACAGGAATCCATTCAATTGTCCTTAGCCATCTGCAGCAGTGGGACTGTAATGCTTTGTTCAACACCATAAATACAGGCAGCAGCACAGTTATCCAAGTTTAAAATACATGCACATTTCTGCCACCCTTCTACTTTTAGGGCAGCTGTTATATGGGATGCATACAAGCAATATGTGAAATCATGTTTGAGACCCCCACAGATTCGTACAGACAAAAAAACTGAGTGTCATTTGTTTGTGATCCCAGTGCCAGAAGCTTCATTGCCATTAGTTTGGAGATGGGAAGAGGAAGAAACCAGGTGCTGGTTCAAAACTGCTCTGACATAACGCCAGAAATCTGTGAAAATCAATATGTTATTAGGAGCAATTAGCTTCCCAGTCTTGTGCTCTCAGACCCTGCCAGTTTTAATTTTACACTTAGCATCCAAAGGAGCAATTCATTGCTGATTCCACACAAGGCTCTGCATAAACCTCCGAGGAAGATGGAACAGGAATATTCTTAGCATACAGACAGAAAATTATTCAAGACCTCTTCATGCATTTTCTCCTCCTTTCTAAAATCTCTCTTGTATTCATCTCCATTCCTTGTCTCTTTTGTTTCTCCTCCCTTTTAGTTCCGCAGCCTCCTGTTCTTCCCTGTGGTCTTTTTCCTATGCCTCCCAGACTACAATACAGTGTAACTTCTTACTGAAATTTTCAGAAAGGTGACAGGGCAAAAATAATTAAAAAATATCCACTCTTCATGAAACCTGAAGTCCCCAGTGACAGCAATTCAGGGCACAGGACATTTTCCCCAGCTACATTTGTGAGACCAAAACCCTTAGACCAAAGATTTCCACTTTCTTGTGAATTCAAATATCCCTGAAGTGCCTAAGCTTTGTATTCACAAGCCAAACACTTTCCTGCAGGCATTGATTGCACAGCTCACCTCCTGCCCTCACATATCCACTAGCAGACACATGGCCCCAGAATAAAAAATAGATTTTCTGAAAACCAAAATTACACTTTAAAACAAAACAAAATCAACCAACCAACCAAACAAACAAAAAAATTTAAAAAACAGCAGTAAGTCCTCTTTCCTGTCCAAATAGATTCCATGCAGATGAGTTTCAACAAAAGTAAGCCTGACAAGTAATTTTGGAAGCCTGAATGTAATCACTCAGACTGAATCTGATGACAACCCAGGAGATAATGCTCCTGTTTTGGTGTTAAAGATATGATGGGAACTTCAAGTTCTCACAAACAGTTAGGACCTTGCACATAATCCAGCAGGATGGGTGTCAGAAGCTGTGGAGTTTCCTGTGCCAGTGCCCAGGGCTGTCCCACACACACAGGAAAGTGAGTGGACAGATGTGCAAATGGGGCCAGGTCCAGCCAAGAGCCAGGAAACCTGAGGGTGATGAGGCAGGGCCATGCTCAGGCCAGGAAGTCACTCTGCTGGCCAGGGTTAAGGGCACAGTGACAGGGCTGACCACGGGCCTGGCTCGGCAGCACCCACGGCTGGCACACTGTGGGGACCTGGGGCCTGGCCCTGCTGAGCATCACTGCGTGGGGGTCTGAAGGACATGGGGGCTGCCACGGGGTCCTGAGCAGGGTGGGGAGCCCCAGGGGCCAGGCAGGGCCTGTCGGTGCCCTGAGCGTGCTGCTGGTACCGTGCTCTGGGACTGCCTCTCATTGAACTATAACAAAAGTCTGTGTTCTCTAACACCTTCTGCAATAAACTGAATTTCCCCTGGATGTCTCCAATCTCAGCGTCACTAGAGTTCACTTTAAATTCATCCCACCCAACAGGAAAGAGCAATTTGAAGGGATGTAAATGTAATTCATTAGCACTGAGAGGGATAATAAGAGAATACAAAATCATCTTTAAAAATCTGCCTAAACTGAAGCATTACATTAGAAATAAGAATGGGCTTTATTAGTCTACCAAAATGCCCTGCAAACAGTAAGTATCACTAATAAGCC